GATCTTTTTTTAAACACTTGCACTTTTAATCTGGATGCTAGAAAATTCAGTTATGTACTGGCTTGTGTATGTGGCTGGCACTGTATTTCTATTGGCTGGTGCTACTTTAGACAGCCAGTGGGAACTTCTCCAGGACTGGTTCTGCATTTTCCTTATAAGATTTCTGAGGGGTTGGGGATTTAGCTCAGTGGTAAAAGCGCCTGCCTGGCAAGCGCAAGGTCGTGAGTTTGGTTCCCGGTACCGGAGAAAAACCAAACCAAACCAAACCAAAACAAAACAAAACAACAAAAAAAAGATTTCTGTATTTTATTTAGCTTCAAAAGCAAATTGGTTCTCTCCTGCTTTATTTCTGGGTGACACAGTGCTGTGACCTGTAGAAAGGTCCATGGAGAGGTCCTTTCCCTCCTCTGTGCTGCAGACTGAAGCTGACCTTGAAGATCTTTCCTACCTCCTACATCTATCTTGTCCTGGACACCCAGATCTCAGCGTAACAGGAGGCTTCCTTGTGACTCTAGTGTAGTAACAATGTGTGCATGTCACTCAGAAGCCCACACAGATCATTTTCCCTTGAAACAATGCTGCAAGTGTTGCTAAAAAATACCAAGCTGTTACCACCTGGGAACAGCTGGTGGAAGCTTACCCAGAAAAGGGAAGAACTTCCATTGCAGTTTTGAACCACTTCTCTGCCTTTTGGCTAAGATCAAGTATAGTATTTGAGGTGGCCTGCCCTGCTGAGCTTCAGTAAGTCCTTATAACTAGCTTCTTCCCAGAGGCTTCTTTATCTTCTTCACTATGTAGAGTCCCTGTGCTAGGTTACAAGGGGCAGGATCAGCCTTCTAGCAGGAACTGCAAAAGGGAAGGCAAAGGCTAAGTCCCCAGATGAGAAGAAAAGACTGCTAAAAACTGTCATTACCAACAACCTTGAGCCACAAGAGTCAAGATTACAGCTTGAGAATTGCTATTTACTTATTTTGTAGACAGGGTCTCACTATGTATTTCAGGGTGGCCTTGCATTCGCTATGTAGCTCAGGCTGGCCTTGAACTCTTGGGGATGCCTCAGCCTTCCTGAGTGCTGGGATTACAGGCATGTGCCACCATGACAAGCCCTATTTTTTATTATTATATTACTATTATTATGATATTATTTATTTTTGAGGTCCTAGAGATCAAACCCAGAGCCTGGAACATACTCAGCAAGCACTTTACCACTGTGTTCTATACCTGGACACTTTCCTCTTTTTAACGCATTAGCTTTACACTGGCTGACTGACATGGGCTTTGGCGGTAGCATTAGGTTCACGTCTCTATTTTACTGCTCAATAGCTACAGGTTTCAGGATAAGATTGCTCCATTTACCTGGGTATAAATTCACTTATATGTAATAATGGGGACAATTCCACACACTTGAGATGTTGATCAGATTAAATTAAATAATGAGGAAAAAGCACCTTGCATTTTATAGGTATTTAATAGATATTACTTTCTTCCCCCTTCATCCTTTCCTTTAACAATTTGGCAAAGAAAATGTTGAAAAAAAAAAAAAAAACCTCCAAAAAAACTGAAAACAAATCTTGTATATGATGACCTGTTCTTGTCTTAATCCAAACCTTGGTGCCTGGTACAATTTTATAATCTGTTAGAGAAATTCTGTGAAGACTGAGATTAGCTTTATAGCCCTAACCTGGTCCCAGGCAAAAGGTACATGCTAGGTAAATGATTGTTACATGAATGAATGAATGTTGAATTTCACACAAGCAGAGGCTGGTTCATGTGTAGAATATACAAGAAGCATTAAGTCTGAATTAGAGCTGTGGGCTGGGGGTATAACTCAGTGGTACACACACACAAAAAGAATTGAATTAGAGCTGTGAAAGAAATATAAAAGTAGTCAGAATCAAAATTGGAGTTGTTCCTAGCGACCCTAACAACAACAAAAGCAAATAGAGCCAGGAGATGATGAAGGGGAGATTCTCACACACGATTGCCTAGTAATAACTATCATAAAGGACTCTGCAAGACCACAACATTAAAGCGGCTAACTTCACATGATACAAAAAAGTATTTCTACAAGACATCTGCCCAGCAATGGTTCAGTCTTGGACTGACAACACTTTTGTTATTAATCATTGTGGCCAAGCACTACTGTTTCCAAAATATCTAATATAAACCAAGCCTGGTGGCACATGTCTGTAATCTCAGCACACTGGGAAGCTCAGACAGGAAGATTTCAAGGTTGAGCCCAGCCTGTGCAACTTAGCAATTTAGGGAAAATCTGTCTCAAAAGTTTAAAAAAAGAAAAAAAGGGAGGGAGAGAGATTTGAAATGTAGCTCAGTGTGAAGACACTGAGTTTAATCCCCAGTCTGTTCAAATGGCTCAGTGAAATCTTCTGCCCAAGCTGGGAAACTCTAGGTGCTCTGTTAATATTCACCATTGCCATTCAACAGTGTTTACTGAGAAAAAGGTTGAAACACAGAGAAACAAACATATTCACCCCTCCATGAGGAAGCACAAGCAATTTGACTTCATAATGTTGTGCTTAGTAGAGGATTTAACCTGATAGATCAAACTAAATAGAAGACTCTATGATGCAAATTTACCCTGACAGGCTTTTTTTTTTAAGACAGGGTCTCACTGTATAGTTCAGACTGGCCTTGAACTCACTATATAGCCTAGCCTGGCCTCGAATTCACAACAATCCTCCTGCCTCAGCTTCCCTAGTGCTGGGATTACAGTGTGCACCACCCATGCATGGCTCAGCCAGGCTATTTTTAAATGCAGAATTCTTAACATTTCTTGACGTTGTTGGGGAATAACTATTCGTATTAAATTTTAAAGACATATTTAGCATTAAGTTCCTTCACAGGTGTGGGCGAAAGTGTGTGGAAACCTATTATTTGTGCTGTATGGATAACAAAAACAAGAGAAGTGTCAAATTTCTTATCTTAATGGTTCCAGGCCACCTGAGAAGTCTTTATGCAGTTAGCAATCCTGTCCTTGCCAAAGAGTAAGTGTGAGATGGCAGTGACTTTGTACGGGTCCTATCCTAGAAATACAATTTAACTCTCTGGAAGGTTGAAAGTTTCTACCCTAGACCCCCAAGTTTTACCATCCAGTGGAAATAATACACAATTGTGCCAAACCCACCAGCCCCCCTGCAATGAAGATGTTAAAATCCACAGTGATCCCATCTTTTTTGTTTGTTTTTTGAGGCAGGGTCTTCATATGGCCTTGAACTCATTCTATAACTCAAACTGGCCTTGAACTCATAGCCGTTCTTCTGCCTCAGCCTCCCAAGTGCTGGGATTAAACCAGGCATAATGGTACTTGCCTATAAATCCCCTCCCCAGAAAAAAATAAAACCAAACAAGTCAAGTGCTGGGATTATAGAGGTGTGCCACCATGCCTGGCAACATCATTTTAAAGGATATGGGATTGATAGATGCCATCCTCGGTACCTGTTTTTAAATTGTTCTGAACAAAAGATGCACTTAATTTCATCTCCAGGCCTTAATTCAATTTTCAAAACATTCAAACCCATTAGATACAAGGTATTGGAGGGATTTTTGTTGTTGTTGCTTCGTTATGTGACCTCCTGTTTGATTTCATTGATTACATTATTACCAAGTGCCAGAACTCACCAGCAGGAGGAAATGGGGCTCAAGTTTCTTTTGTAGTAGTAAAGATGAACAGAATGGAAATGTGCCTTTGGAGAAGTTTTGGAAACTTTCTATCTCCAATGAAAAAATTCCAAAGGATCCTCTTTCTAAATGAAATGAACAACTTAGAGAAAATAGGTCTATGAAAAAGAAGGGCTACTGGTCATTTTGCTAAACACACAGCAGAACCAAGTATGCTGGAAAGACGTGAGTCGAACCAGTGGCTCTGTTTTAAAGATGACCCCATAAGTATTTGCTCCAAACATTTGGGAGAAGCAATCAGATTCAAAATATGTCCATCTTTCTGGATCAGAACAGCAGTGAGATGGAAAGACTTTGCAAATTTCCTCCTGTTATGCTTTGCGTCTGGATGTCCCCGCAAAGCCTCATGCAGTCATTGGGAGGACTTCTAGAGTTTATGACTGGTCCAATGTCCAATGTGGAGACTATGGGTGTGAGTGCTACATTCACCCTGAAGTGGGTAGTTTGTATACAACGTAAGGGGAGGAAAGAGGCTGCTCACCACTGCTTTTCCCTTTTGCTCTCCTTGCTTTTGCTGTCTTCAACCACCATGAACGGTTGCTCCTCTGCCATGTGCAACCCTGCCTTGGAGGCAGCCAAGTATGGGCTGAAACCTCCATAAACTGTGAGCTAAATAAACCTTTCCTTTCTTAATTCTGGGTGTCAAGTATTTTGTCTCAGCAACAAGAGAGAAGTAACCAAGATACCTTCCAAAAAGAAAGAAAGAAAAATAATTAAGATATACCCTTATACCAGAAGCCTTCTTGGAAATTCAGGGCCAGATTTCTATTTCATTCTGCTGGACATGGCTCTAAACCCTAGGGAAAGAGTTTGGCACAACACACTGTTTCCACTGTCCTGGCTTCAACTGTGTGTAAAAGAAGGTAAAAATAGTGCCAAGAACCACCAGACCTAGTCCTGCAGCTCCATGCAGCACAGGGTATACAGCATTCTAGGACAGACAGTTGGTCCTGCTCAAAACACCTAATGACAGCAGAATAGTCTGCACAAGCTGATACAAGTCAGGGGAGAGACCATCAAAGCAGAACATACTTGAGAAGCATGCATTCTGGAGAATGAAAAGACCCCCTGCTTTTGGGCCTCAATTTTATCTTGCAATGTCACTGACAGTCACAATCACCCAACCACACTACTGGTCGCAGCAGCCGCAAAACCAGCTGTAGTCACAAAGGCTGTTGGTCACATTAGCACAGCCCCCACACAGGTGGGTCCAGCTGGCTTTGATCTCACCCCACTTGGTCCCACCCTGCAGGGTAGGACAGCATCTCCTTTCCGCACTGGTCCGCAGACTCACCACTCACCTGATTGCCAAAGACAGCTAGGGAGCAGGCCGTTGAAACTTCATTTGCTCCAAACCAGACCGAAGCAATGCGGGAGGGCATGCCCAGGATGAAGACCTGAGCCATGGAGCAGATGACCTGGCCCAGCACCGTGACGGGGAAGAGGTGGGGCTTCAGACTGCCCAGTTTCACCCAGGCCCCCAGGCAGTTGAGAGCAGAGCCGGTGAGAGCAATGGTGCGCAGACCGTATTTCTCCAGCAGCCAGGCCACGGGCAGGAGCAGCACGATGTAGGTTAGCATGTAGCACATGGACAGCCAGTCAATGGCAAAGGAACTGACCCCATAGAAGTTCATGAAGATGTTATTGATGGAACCATATTGGATCCACTGGAAGGCGTTGCACATGGAGTAGCAGCTGAACACCAGGACCACCGCCCAACGCCGCCTGCTCACCTTGATTACGCTAAGCTCCTCCGGGCTGGAGCTACTGGGTTGGGCCAAGCCACTGGGTTGGGCCAAGGTACTAGGGTAGGCCGAACTGCTGGGGTGGGCAGAGACGCTGGGGTGGATGGAGACGCTGGGGTGGGCCGAGATGCTGGGGTCCCCCTGGACCGCGTCGTAACTCTGTGCCGAGGTGTCATGGCGTTCCTTCTGGCTGGGACCCTCATTCACCATGACCACAGCCACTCCTGCAGCGCGAGGTGGTGCGCTTCCCGGCAGTCTGAAAGGGCTGGCGCTGGTCTCCTAGCGCGACGGGGCACTTACCCGGGAGCGCGACCCTGTTGCAAAGGAAATTGAGACCCAAAGCTGCGCCAAAGCAGCCACTGGAATTCCCTGAGCTCGCTAGAAAGCGCCTGCCCTCTCCCTTATCCTTGAGGATCCCAGTCCCCGCAGATGCCACGGCCGGCTCCTGGCTGTTCTTGCCTTGGGTAGTTGTTCTCCGTCCTACAAAAACTTAGCTCCTTTTCACGGTCACTTCGCCCGCTCGTTTCACTCCGGGGCGGACAGGGGCCTCGCCCCCTCGGGCGCACGTGACCGCCCGGTCCAGTCCGGGTCTGGTCGCTTCCCCACCCCACGCCCTCCGCCCGGTGTCCCCCGCCTTCTCGATCGCGGCAGGCCAGGCAGCGCAGTTGTTTCGCCACAGTTTGCTGGCTGCATTCCTCCCCTACGCCCTGGGCGCCATGGAAACCGCCCAGTTAACCCGGGCCCGGGCCGCGACCTTTAGATTCGTTTGCTCCAGCGAAGAGCGATCCCCTGCTGCCCGCGAGGTGTAGGTCCTTGGCGCGGTCCTCCGCTCCACAAGTGCAAGCAGAAACCCGGCGTCCCCGAAGGGCTCTGGAGAACCCGAGAAGGAGTCCCGATTCTGGGCCGGGCTTCTAACCTGGCTGTTTTCAGTGTAAAGAGACGTTTATGGATTTTTCTTCCGATCGCGCTTCTGAGTTAAATGAAGATGTAGAAAACTAGCTCCTTGCGCGGCTATCTCCGCGGACCTGTGCTTATCTTGGAGAACTCCTTGGTGAACTTAAGTCGCTCTGATAGTTCTTGATGGGCTCATTTGGCTTCCAAGGCGGACCCGAGGGTGAGAGAAGGGGAGTGAAACTTAACAAGCGGCCAGTGCGAGTGTCGCAAGGGTTTGCTCTGTGCCTGTTCTAGGTAGAGGTCTCTGCACCTTTGTAGAGCCAGGCTGCCACCTGCTGCTGTCAGCCTGTGCCAAAGGGTGAACCTTCAGCTGTCTCAGACTGAAAGCCAGGCTTGCAAGGCAGGGGTGACGGTTTGCACTCATGCCTTTCAGCCCTGGTGAGGAACAGTGGGGAAGAGCCCGGGGTTTTTCCTGGATCCAAACTCCAGGTCAGAGACCTCTAGGTGTGTAACTGTAGAACAAGGCACGCTGCCCCCTGCCCTGAACCCGAGTTTATAGAGCAGGGCTGATAGAATAGCTTCACAGGCATGAAGCTTGAGCAGGTTAACTCAGCACTTGGAAAACTCCTGACAGATCGTAGACATTCCGTGAGTGCTGGATGTCCTCACTCACAGCTGGAATTGGTGACACTGCGCTGCACGTGTGTAAGCCATCACCTCATTGAAGTATCACAGGAATTCTGTGATGTTATTACTATTGCTTGCTTTTTGGGGGCGTTGGGGAGTGCTGGGGCTTGAACCCAGAGCTTTGTGGATTCTGAGTACAGGCCACTCTAAGCTACACTCCCATGGTCTCACTGTCTGGATAACCTAACTGGGGCTCTTACAATTGAGGTGACTTCTTACTTAAGGTTACTGCTGACCTGAAGAACCATAGTTCTCCTTCCAGTCTGTACTCGTTGAAGCTCTAGTCCAGCTGTTCAAGGGCATTTGGTGGGCAGTAACCTAGGCATCATCTGGAAGGGAAGAATCCCAGGCCCACTCCAGAACTCCTGAATGAGAAGTTGCGTTTTAACAAGATCCCAAGTTTTATTTGCACATCACAGTTGGAGGACCAGTCGGTTCCATTGCCCAAGTAAGTTAACACTTTGAGGCAGTGGTTTCAACTTGGGGTGCATGTTAGACTCATGGGGGGTGCTTAACGTTTCACATGCAGGCCAGACCTCAAAACAGAATCTCAGAACCAGGCATGGTGGCACTTGTCTGTCTGTAATCCCAGCACTCAGGAAGCTAAGGCAAGAGGATCACTGTGAGATAGAGGCCGGCTTGGGCTACATAGTGAGTTTAAAGCCAGCCTGAACTACATAGTGAGAATCTGCCTCAACCACCCCTCTCAAACAAAACAAGAAACAGAATCCCTGAGGGTAGACAAGAGCAGTACATGTTACATCTTCACCCTAACATGGAGCCAAATTTGGTCATCCCTGGTGGGGTTAGAGCCACCAGTTCCCAGGAGCAGAAACTGGATTCACTAGTTGGGATAAGTGCCTAGAACTCTTTCTGGAGGCACCCACTTTTTGGTAGAAATAATAGGATCTTTTTAAAATTCATTTTGAGATAGGGTCTTGCTGTGTAGTTCAGGCTGGCCTTGAACTCTCTGTATAGCCCAGGCTGCCCTCAAACTTGCTACAATCTACCTGCCTCAGCCTCCTGAGTGCTGGGATTACAGGTGGGCACCATGTATGGCCAAAGATTCCATTATAATCAAAGATCCCAGAGAGATCACCGTGAATTCAAGGCCAGTCTGGGCTATATAGTAAGTTCAAGGTCAGCCTGAATTACAGAATGAGACCCTGTCTCAAAAAAAAAAAAAAAAAAAAGGAATACTTGAAGGGAGAATTGATGCTCATCTAAGAATTTTTGCACTTATTAACATTTTATCATGGCCTTCTCCCCAAAGTCTTCAGAATATATTCTTAACCTCATTTTACAGGTATGGAAAGTTAGGTTCAGAAAGTGGGCTGTGTTCCTCAGAGTCTCACAGCCAGTTAGCATCAGAACAAGCCACAGAGAGAAGAGTTTCCCTTCCACATGGTCTCTCCCATGTGCTCTTCTAGAGCAGGACTTAGTGTGATGACAAATCTCAAGGACCTAACCTGGGATTCAAGCACTTATTTGGGCCTGCTCTTTGTAGTGATGCAAATCAGATCCATTGTGAGCTCTGGCTTGGGTCCACTCAGATTTGGAGTTCGGTTCTGCCATTATTAGCTTTGAAATGTTGGGCAAGGTACTTAATCTTCCTATATCAAATGTGGATTGGACATAGGGGTGTCATGAGAATTAAACACGATAATGTGTATGTATTAGTTTCAAAAATAATAATTGTGGTGATATTCTAGCAGTAACCAGAATAATGCTGGTTCTTCGCTGGTCCCCCCAGTGGGTAGACAGCTATATGAATATTAGGTAGATATTACATAGAAGTATTATGTACTCAGCCACAGGGGGAAATATCAAGGATTTCTCCCTGAACAGGGGCTTTGGTTCTTACTTTTATTCCCACTGACTCTCTGGAAGCTGGGAGAAATCTTTGGCATTGAACTGAAGCATTCTCAGCTCTCTGCAGCATGATGCCAAAGTCCGCCCCCTGGTGGCTAATGGCAACTCCAAGCCCTAAGTCAAACTCTAGCACAAGGGGTGCACATGTGGGAGGTACCAAGCTTGTTGTGGGCAAAAGGAAGGTTAAATGCACTTGTAATGGCAATTTTGCCCTTACTGGTTTTTATGTGTAATTTGTATGTGTAACAACACATGCTCATCAATATTGTTTTCCTTATCTCTCACATTTCCTACAGATTTGTATATATCTTTGTATACCCTGGAACATTTAATGAGGTACACTATATAACACATGTCCTTAATATATATCCATAGATTTGAGCTAAATTACACATTTCCATGGAAGAGGAGATCTGACAGGCTTTCGGTGGGGGGGGAGAACTCATTTCATAAAAAGTTTTCAAAAAAAGAAGGAACAAATCATCAGGATTATCAGTCCTTGAACCTGAAAGTCAGGGGAACAATTCCTTCTGAAGGAAAAGCATTTCCTGCCTAGAATTCTATACTCAAACTAACAAAAAGTATGAGGGAAGAGTCCATTTTCAGACATGCAGAGTTAAAAAAAAAAGTACCTCCTTACCCTCCCTTTTATGAAGCTGCTAAAAGATATGCTCCAGCAGAACAAGAGAGGAAACCTAGAAAGTGTAAGATGCAAGGTAGAGAAACCAGGCACTCCAGTACAAAAGGTGTGTTAAATGGAAGCTCCAAGCCAAAGGAAAGTCCCCAGTGGCCAGAGAACAATGTGACAGGCACAGGAAGCAATGTGTTCAGATTGAAGCTGCTCAGAAGACTTCAGGGAAGATTTATTTCATATGACAGAATTCTGTTGAACATATGAAGAGGTTTACACACCTGGAGGAGAATGAAAGGTTGAAGTAGTGTTGAATACTAACAATAGAACTAAATAAATGGAAGAAAGGCATCAGTAACTGTAGGTGAGTTATGGAGGCGTCATCTCCTTCAGGAAATATCGTGGACTACATTAACTAACTCAATTGTGCATAACACAGACACAATCATAATAATGCAAACACCAAAAGTCTGTATCATGAAGTCTTTATTTTGGTTGATATAACTTTACTGGGAGGATGGGGGGAATGAGAAGTGGGTAGCTAAGATAAGAGTGGGGGAAATAGTCTCCATGTTGAAAAGGCTATGTTGAAAAGGCTATGGTTTGTAAGTGCCTAACATGGAAAAAATCAGAAGTACTAATAATATTCATGTTACTCAGACACTAGAAATAAATGCTGAAGGAATCATTTGATGCAAGTTGGAAACAGGTTCCTGGGATGGGGGATCAGGAAAAGGAGATAGGCAACTGATATTTGTGACATATAACTAACTATTTGATACTTTCAACTGTGATAAATTTCATTTAAATTTAAATTTATTTAAATTTTATCATTATGTAAAATTTGAGTCAAATTTAATGGAGAGGAAGCTACTTCACCAAGCCTGATAGGTGATGTCTAGGAGCATGGTTGTCTCCATCCAGGATTTGATAACATTGGTTCTGATATGGATGACCCCTATCCTGGGACTTCAGAGGAGATCATCTCTTCAACTGAACTGTGGCCTCTGACACTGTATATGGGCACTACCTCAGCAAAGTAAATATGTGGCCAGAGGTCCTAATATCTATGCTCAAATTTTTTTTGTTTTTTGTTTTTGTTTTTACCTTTCTGTGACTGTTTTTGCTCCTAATATCTTTAACACTTGTGGATTCTGCAGTGTCTTATCCATTCCACTTACAAATCAACATCTGTCCCATCATCCAAAAAACCATGCCAAGGTCTTCTCCTCTGGAATCTGTGGGTGAATCCTGTGCCAGCTCCCAGTCACTGAAACTGGAAGGCTCAGAACTGTCTGGACCCTCCCTACACTCCTGTCAGTGCTCACTAGATGCTTATGTCCTCCCCATGTTCCCTCCAAGACTTTCATCACCACCAGCTTAGTTCAGACTCTTGCTGCTTCTCACCATGTCCCACATCACCACCACCAGCTTGTTCTTCCTCCTTCCAATTCACTGCCACAATGTTCCATGGTGCTTTCTGGCTTTCCCCATGTCACTGTTCCAACTCACAACCTCCAGAGACCATCTCTGCCTCCAGAAGACTCTTGCTTCTCAGTTTACCACACAAGGCCTTTATGACACTGCTCTAGCCACATCTCTTACCATCACCCTCTCCCCCGTCTTGCTCCAGACAGGTGGAGTCACCTGCAGCCCCCCAGCAGCATTATGAACCCATCATGCCATGCAAGTGCCACACCTCACAATGCAGGGAAGGTGTCATCTCCTCCAGGAAGCCTTACACAACCACAAGTGTGAGTCACAGGCTTCTTCCACACCAAGCATCTGCATGAAGATGGTAGTTCTGGTCACAATCTAACATCAAAGGTTATTTTTCAAGTCATCTACTTCTCCTGAATTCTTCAAGTTTATGAATCATGTCCTATTCATATTCAGGCTGGTTCCAAGCTTCACTCCATGCCTGGCCCACAGAAAGAACAGGGAGGACAGACTGGGCAGAATCCCTGATGCATATCATATATATCCAGAAAGGAACACTTATGACTCAGTTATTTACAGAGCTGCAGGTTCCCAAGTGTTACATTTTGCTGAGTGCCTTAAACAGAGCTCA